AAGATGGCTTGAAATAGGGTGTATGGGGGTTCTGGTAGTAGCATAAAGTTGAATAAAACCAGAAGTAATGATAATGATAATAGCCACATCAGATAACGTTAACAGGATTCTTCTTGTTAATTTGTTGCTGTTAAGCAATTTTAAGAACTTTAGTTTCTATTTTTCCCACTGGGGAAAGTAAGGCTCAGAAACATCAGCAACTCTTCATACCCTAAGAAGGTGTCTAGTTGAGCTAGGAACTTCAACTGTCCACGGTAACAGCTGAGCTGCCCACCATTTTCTATTCCATACTGCTATGTCTGATGCAGTTGTCATGTATTCTGCTGTTTTAATAAAATTGGTATTTTAAATGGAAAAGTATGCAATTATCATTAGAGACAGAGTTGTAAAATGTGCATATTCTATTAGAGTATCTGTGTCTATGTGTAGGCAGGTGGGATATGGTGATGAAAGCTTATGGTTTAGAGTTATATTGTTTTAAATTTTCATTCCAGTTCTGACATTTACTGACTGTAGAAACTGTGACAAGTCATTTTACTTCTCAGGTATATATATTTCCTTATTTTTAAAATGGGAAACACATGACACTTTTATAGACTTGCTGGTAGTGATATGAGGAATGATGTAATATATGTTTTGTTGTTGTTAAGTGCCATGGAGTCGGTTCTGACTTATAGAGACCCTGGATTCTGTATCGGGTTTCTGAGGCTTTAACACTTTGCAGAAGCAGAAAGCCTCCTCTTTTTTCTGCAGAGCAGCTGGGGGGCTCAAGCTGCCAACCTTGTGTTTCACAGTCCAATGCTTATCCTACAGAGGTGCCACACTCATGTGGCACAAGGAGCTCCCAACTTTTGATAGTGGGGTTCCATTCAAATGATTCAGTTCTGACCTAAGTCAGTTTTCATGATTACTGCCTTTGATTACCATTATCTTTATAAATTTGATCTCCATCTTTGAGGGCTGAAAACATTATGCACAACTTACAGATATATTTTAATATTGCATGTGTATTCCTTACAGGAACCCTGGTAGGACAGTGGGTTATGCATTGTGCTGCTAACTGCAAGGTCAGCAGTTTGAATCTACTAACTATCCTGTGGGAGAGAAAGATGAGGTTTTCTGCTCCCTTAATGATTTACAGCCTCAGAAATTCTATACAAGGTCATGAGTCAGAACTGACTCATGGCACACAACCACCACCATATTACTAACAATAAGGAGTACATGAAAAAAAAAAAAAAAGAGGCAGTTTTCATTGCAGTTCATTGTAACTTAAAAAGATTGCAAGTTGGGCATTACTGTAGCTAATGCAGACTTCAGTTCCTATATGACAAGATGACAGGCATGGATCTAAGTAGTTTAACTACTGCTGTGTTGTTGTTAAGTACTGTAGAGTCGGTTCCGACTCATAGTGACCCTGAACAGGGTTTCCAAGGCTGTAAATCTTTACGGGAACAGAAAGCCTTATCTTTCTTCAGTGGAACGGCTGGTAGTTTTGAACTGTCAACCTTGAGGTTAGCAGCCCGAAATAAAAAAGCCTAACTTGTTACTGTTGAACCAATTCTGACTCTGTTGTTGCTATTGTTAGAGGCCCTGGAGTTGATTCTGACTCATAGTGACAGCAGGAACAACAGAATGAAACCCTGCCTGCTCCTGAACCATCCTCATAACATAAAAGATGACTATATACCTGGCACTCACCATTTGGGATGCACAGAAATCAAACTGACTACAACTGTGGAAAGAGATGGTTCAATAGGTCCATATCATCAGCCAAAATAAGGCCAAGATCAGACTGTGGAAGAGACCATTGATTCAAGTTCAGGTTAAAGCTGAAGAAAATTAAAACAAGTCCACAAGAGCCAAAATTTGACCTTGAATATAGAGATCTGATAATAGATATCATCTCAAGCACAGCTTTGATGCATTAAACCCTAGTTACGGAAGACCCAGAAGATCTGTGGGAGGACATCAAGAATACCACATAGGAAGAAAGCAAAAGACCAAACTGGATGTCAGAAGAGACTCTGAAACTCTCTATAGCTTAGAGATGCCAAAGAAAATGGGAGAAATGAGGACGTAAAAGGGCTGAACAGAAAAAATTCAGAGGGCAACGTAAGAAAGTCCAGTATTATAATGAAATGTACAAAGACCTAGAGTTAGAAATACTAAAGGGAAATGCATGCTCAGTACATACCAAGCTGGAAGAACTGAACAAAAAAGACAAGCCTCAACTTGAAGTATTGAAGGCTTTTGAGTGCAAAATATTGAATGATGCAGAAAGCATCAAAAGAAGATGTGAGGAATATACAGAGTCACTGTACCAAAAAAGAAATGGATGATGTTCAACTATTTCAAGATATAGCACATGATCAAGAGCCATATGGTACTGAAGAAAGAAGTCCTAGGTGCACTGAAGGCATTGGTAAAGAACAAACCTTCGGGAACTGATGGAATACAAATGGAAATAGTTCAACAAACTGATGCAGTACTGGCAACATTCACTTATCTATGCAAAGAAATTAGGAAGAATTCTACCAGCTTCTTTCATCTGAAATTGATCAAACATGCAGTCAAGATGTATTAATAATCACTTGTGAGTATAATGTATAGGTTGTAAACAAAGAGGAGGGATCAGTAGTTGGAAAATACGGCCTTGGTGAAAGAAATGATGCTGGAATTTTCACCAAGGCCATATTTTCCAGCTACTGAAGCTTCTTCTTTGATCAATTTCAGACTGGTGAAGTTTGTAGAATTCTTCAGTTTCATCATCTCTGCCTTTATTTATTGGTTGTTGTGTAAATTTGAAAAATAGTGGTATTAACGGGTCTTCTGTGTAGGTATATGAATATTGTCCTATCATAGACAGAATTATACTTCAAGATAGTTCTCTGACTTACTAGACAAAGTAGAAATGCCCCATTTCCAAGGGTTTCCAAGGTTATAAATCTCTACAGAAGCAAACTGCCATGTCTTTCTCCTGCAAAGCAGCTGTTGAGTTTCGGCCACTGACCTTTCAGTTTGCAACTGAGCTTTTAACCACCACACCATCAGAACTCATGAAATCCTTATAAAAACTTGAGATAGAAAAATGCTTTATATATGTTGTGCACTGATTTATTTAATATGTCTCTTTTAACCCTAATCTTTGTAGCTCCCAAACAACTTCTTTTCCTCATGTTGTTGTTGTTGTTAAGTGCCGTCGAGTTGGCTTTGATTCATAGTGACCCTGTAAAGGGTTTCTGAGGAGCAGCTGGTGAGCTTGAACCACTGACCCTGAAGTTCAAACAGCTTTGCAGTCTGACATATGAACCCACAGTGCCACACCAGGACTCCTCTTTTCCTGATGTTGTGGTTATGTACCGTGGAGTAGATTCCGACTCCACGGCACATAACAGGGTTTCTGAGGCTGTAAATCTTTACAGGAGCAGAAAACTTCATCTTTCTCCTGTGGAACAGCTGGTAGTTTTGAACTGCTGACCTTAGGGTTTGCAACCCGATTTGTAACCACTACACTACCTGAGCTCCTTCTTTTCCTGATAGATCTGGGTAAAAGATGTTGGGAGAAGATGCTGATAAGATTACACGTTTCAGCTGTGAGTGACTGTCAACAGGGTTAATTGTAATCACAAACTCCTGGAGCTCTAATGTGGGTTTAAAAGGAGCCATTTCAGGAGGAGAGCCTGACTGCCATCAAGGAAGAAGAGGCAGAGGTTGAGCAAGTCTTTTGGACCCCAGAAACCCTGCTCACTGAAACTCAATGCCCCATGAACAGAAAGCTTTGATGTGGAGGAGTTGCAGAGGAGCGGTGGCAACAGAACCAAGATCCAGAGCAACAAACACAGTGGCACACGGAGCATGTGACGCTGACTGTCTCCTCACTGGTGGAGTGGAGTGCCTCCAGGCACATAATTCATTTATTTGGGGAGCTAAATCTGCTGATACATGGAGCTAATGATGACTGCCTTGGGATTGAGGCTTACAGCAGACTGGAGTGCCCTTAGACATTTATCAGTGGTGCTAAAAGAATTTTGTAACATTTCTCACGTAAGACTGAGGCCAGGCCTAGGGAATGGGGGCCAGAGAGAAGCTTGCCAGTGGGTATGACTGAGAAATGGCTGTCCTGACCAAAGAACTGTCTCCTGAGCATTTCTGGTCCTGAATTGTAACCTGTGAACTTCCCTAATAAACCCCATAATTGTAAGAATGGTCTATGAGTTCTACGTGGCCACTACAATGCATTTTTAAACCCAGTAGAGATCCATGGAAGGGACTGTTGGTGTCAGATTTGGTAGAGCAGGTAGAAGTCTGCAGGCATGTCTGACCTCTCAGCTCTATAGGAATTGGCTTTGGATTGACACTAATGTTGACTCTCCTTTCCTTTGGAAAACTAAGAAAAGATCAGATATCTCCTTGAAAGCTATTTTTTCCCCCTTCAATACCCATATTATAGATTGGGAAATTACAGCACAGAGAGGTCAAACAACTTGTTGAATGTCACATAGGTAATAAGTCAGGAAGCACTTTTAACCACTAACCCATGGACTAGCTCACACAGGCTAAGCATATGAAAAATGCCCAAGAAGTGCTGGCTGTCTTTATGACTTGTGGCAGTAATTTGTACACTGAAGTACTTTGTAAATCAGCAAAACCCTTTTATTCACAAGAAAATTAAAAAACAAAAACAAAAACCTATTACAGTTAAAGGCATAGCTGCTTTGCTTGAAGTAGGTATGAAGGCTCTCCCCTCCACTTAAAGTATTCTAGGAATTCGTAGGCATTCATTCAAAATCCACAGATTCCATCTTTTGCTTTCTTTTTGTTTATACCTGTACTCTTCGACATTTCTGCACCTGCTGCATCCCAAGTTCAGGAAATAAACATTTTGAAAGCCACAGATGAGACTATCTTCCACCTCCTGACCTTTGTCTCGCACCTTCTATGACCATGTCCATGCCCAGCCAGCTTGGCCATCGCTGGGTCATCATGAGGTGACTCACCTGTTTTGTCTGAGTTGCAGAGGATGGTTTCTTTTTCAGCTCTCATGCCAGGGCTGGGGCCGTGCTTCATCCACATGGTGATGGTGAACTGGTCTGTCAGGTTCTTGGGTACAATCCCATCAGGAATCTTTGCACCCTGCTTTCCATCGAACTTGAAGATCATCTCACTGCTGTCCACCAGCAGTCCTGCAGTCCAGTTGGTGGCAGTACTGGGGGATGGCAAGAGGTCAATGATGCCAGATGAGGCTCCTGCAAGGGACAAGGGACATAAAAAAAAAAAAAAAAAAAGCCATTACTCATAAGGTGGGTGTTCACCCTGTCTGTTTTCTGCTCCTGGGCCAGAATGAACGAATCTGCAAATGAAACTTTCACTCACTAGGAAAGATCTCTGGCTATTACTGAGCAAAGTGACTTGAGGAAAAGAAAGGCCAAATATCATCCCTGCTTCTGAGCTGCTTATGTTTATATGGGGAGACATCAGTAACTTACAGACACAAAAATGGGCAAGACAGGGTACAATAATTATACAAAGAAAAAAGTGGTGGAGGAATTTAGAGAAAAGGGAGCATAGTGAAGGCTTTTGTAAACTGAAGGGTTCCTAAAGAAGACCAGGGTTTCATTTGGGTCAAAGGGTTCATTCATTCATTCAGTTATCCAACCATTAACCTGCCAGCCATTTCTTGAGCACCAGCCATGGGCCAAAGACTCCTGCTAGGTCCTAGTGGAGTGGAGCTAACTCAAACCTAGTTCATATCTGGGAGAGTTCAGAACCAACACATGGGTAGACAGTACTTACACAGTATGATCACAGCTGCAATTGGAGAAAGTTCTAAGTGCTGATCCCATGAGGAAGGTGAGCCACCTTGTATTTATAGCACACTTTTCCACAACAATTCATTTGGACCAAATGGTGCAGTGGTTGAGAACAAGGATTCTGAAGTAAGTGAAGCTTGAATATGACACCTGGCAGTGCTTGCTAGCATTGTGACTATGAGCAAGTTACTTAATCTTTCTCACTTTCCCTGCTATAGCAGCTCCTGTGTGCTGTGAAGCCTGAATGTGACAATGCAGTGGTGCTCTCAGCAGTGAGCTTGCCACACTGTGGCTGTCCACCAGATGTTAGTTATACCTTTATCATTATGATCACCATTACTATCATTATTTCTGCTACCACTGTTAATCCAGGGTAAGGCATGAGAACTGAAGACAATGGGAATGCCAGGGGCAGATGTGGCCTTTAGGAGACTCACAACAGCTTTGTGAAGGGTGGAACTAAGGGATGGGTCAGAAGTGACAGGCCTTGCAGAGGACACTAGACACCTTCTGTTGGGACTACTCTTGAGGCTCCACTGATACTTGTTGCTGGCAGAGTTCCCTGCATCCTTATGGTCCATACAGGAGCAGGGCTCAGCTATACAGGGAATAGGGGGGCTGGGGTTTCCTGACACTGCCAGGTAACAGGGAAAAGGTATGCCCGGTATTTGAGGCCAGGTGTATGGACTCCCTCCTACAACAAGCATTGGCCAATTGGTCATAACTTTGAAGGGGTTTAAAGGGCAGGGCTTGCATGGAATGCCTGCCACTTGGCAAGAAGCACTGGCTTTCTGAATTCTATCTATTGCAGCTTAATCTCACCCCAGATTTGGGTCCTGAAGTTAGCCACAACAAAAATCTCATACAATCAAATGACCCTTGACAATCAAAAGGAAGGTGCCATAAGACAAACCAGCATAGTACTTATGCAAAAATTCAACCTAGTTAGTCTCCCTCTGACCTTGGGACAGATCTTTGGGTCTAGGGTTAGCACTTAATGGCTTGCAATTCGAGGCTATGTTATTTGAAAAATGTTTCCTTAGAATTCAGATGCTCACTTAACACTGTGAGAGGCTCACCCTGGGAGAAGCCTCCAGGAGTTGCAGAGCCTGAGAGTGTGGGAGAGTCAGGTCCCCCAATTCATCCTCACACTGTAGCTTATGTTGAGGGCGAGCATAGGCAGAGCTGGCTACAGTACTTACATGAGTATTCCCCAGAGCTTTAATCTAGTACTGTGTCAGACCTATATTATTGTTGTTATTGTTGTTGTGACGTGCCATCGAGTCAGTTCCAACCCATAGCAACCCTATATAGGATATCCAAGGAGCAACTGGTGAGCTTGAACCACCAACCTTACAGTTTAAACGCCTTTGCAGTCTGGCACATTAACCCACAGCGCCACACCAGGACTCCAGACCTATATTGTTGTTGTTGTTGTGAAGTGCCATTGAAGTGCAATTATCAAAATTGATAATTGCATTCCTCCCTCCCAGTGTCCCCATGAGATGCTTCAAGCCATCTACTCAATGCCAGCTGAGCCTACTCATGTGACCTCTTGTCAGTACTTTACTGTGGTGGTCCCATGCCCCAGATCCATCTTCGGTATCTATATACTTAACCTGACAAATGGCACTGTGGGTTAATGTGCCAGACGGCAAAGCCATTTGAACTGCAAGGTCGGCGGTTCAAGCTCACCAGCTGCTCCTTGGAAACCCTATACAGGGTTTATATGGGTCAGAATTGACTAGACAGCACTTAACAACAATGTTTGAATGAGGTATTTGTAGCAAAAATAAAAATATAAATCTATTGTGTTATTGTTAAGTGACATCAAGTCAGTTCTGACTCAGAGCAACCCTATATATGGTTTCCAAGACTGTAAATTTTTACAGGAGCAGAAAGCCTCATCTTTCTTTCCTGGAGCATCTGGTATATTTAAACTGGTGACCTTGCAGTCAGTAGTCCAATTCGTAACCCACTATGCTACCAGAACTCCTTTTGTTGTTGTTAAGAGCCTTAAAGTCAGTATCAATTCATAGTGACCTAATGCAAAACAGAACGAAACACTGCCTGGTAATGTGCCAACTTTACAACCATTGCTACACTTGAGCCCAATGCTGCTGCTACTGTGCCAGTCCATCTCATTGGAGGTCCTTCTCTTTTTTCCAACCCTCTACTCTACCAAGTATGAGGTTCTTCTCCAGGGTCAGGTCCCTCCTGATAATAGGTCCAAAGTATAAGGGAAGAAGTCTGGCCATCCTAGCTTCTAAGGAACATTCTGGCTATATTTATTCCAAAAGAGATTTGTTTGTTCTTTTGGCACACCATGGTACTTTTAATATTCTTCTTCAACACCTGTGTTAATTATTTCACATGGTTTGCCGTAGTTAATCCTTTATGAGGTGAATACTAATAGTATTTCAGATTTACAGGTAAGAACCAAGACTAGTAAACTCAAATCAAACCAGCTAGGAAGTAGACCACATCCAGGATGATATAACTTCAGAACATATGCTCCCTATGTACCACTGGAGTGATGCTGGAAGCGTCTATTGTCACTTCCTGTCAGCTCATTTAACAAACATGAAAAGTGAGGCTCAGAGAGGGGAAATGACTTGACCAAGGCCACACAGCTACCTGGTGGGAGACCTGGGATTAGAATCCAGTTCTCCCAGACAAATTTTACCATATATTATAGTGTCCACATATTATAGGAGTCCTGGTGTGGCACTGTGGGCTAATGTGTCAGACTGCGAAATGGTTTGAACTGCAAGGTCAGTGGTTCAAGCTTACCAGCTGCTCCTTGGAAACCCTATACAGGGTCGCTATGGGTTGGAATCGACTCAATGGAACTTAACAACAACAACATGTATTATAGACTCCTGGTGTGGTGCTGTAGGATCAGCACTGGTCAGCTGTTCAAACCCACTAGCTACTCTTCAGAAACCCTATACAGGGTTGCTATGAGTGAGAGTTGAGTCAACGGCATTTAACAACACAGTGTCCAGCAGGCCAACCAGCAGACCTGTTTAGCACAGCGTAGTTCTACATAGCCACCCCCCCCCCCTACATAAGTGACAACCCCCGAGTGAGAATTGTTGAAGGCACCATAATGCCCTGGGAAGGCCACACAGTGTACAGTTGGCATGTCTTCCCGGTGAGGAAGAGCAGCAGGTCCCTTCCTAACTCACAGACATCGCCTGCCAGAAAACATCAAGCTGCATTTAAGCAGATGGCCCAGACTTTCCTAAATCTAAGAGCTGTATTTCATTTCTTGGTGTATTTAAAAAAAATAAAAAACAAAAAAACCTGAGATCTACTTTCTTATGAAATTCTCTTTCCTCTCCCCAAGAGTTCCCATGGGCAGTCAGTGGGTAAATAAAACACATTGCTTGAAAAGATGATGCCACGTCACCTTGCACATCAGGGTGCAACTCAGCTGCTCCTTTGGAATTCTGTGCATGGTTCCCTGGGGAGCTACCTTGCTCGGGCACCCAGCAGTTGCATCTTGAGCATTGGAGGCTTTGAGGTGCACATGAGGTCTGACTCAAGGTCCTAGAACCATACCAGGGTAGGGAAGCCGCTCTCAGTTAGCAAATAGGAAAGAAGTTGGACTGAATGGGGCAGAGTTCAGGGCACAATGTAATATGAGAGGCCAAGTAGGGTCTGGGGGGAGCAGTCACTGCCTGTTCTTGTCAATGACACTATTTTCTCTCTGCTCTAGATGGCTTTGGTGAGGGCATAGCGTTCTTGGCACAGCAAGGTAGTTCTTGGAAGTGGTGACTGACATGGAGCCCTGAAATGATATTCCCTTAATGATCCACCATGGGGTCTTGGAAGGGATAGAATGAGGAGGAGAGGCATCTCAAAGAAACTGAACCTTTATAATCAAGGCTCAAGCCTCATTCTGTATTCTCACAATGACAATATCAATTGTATGTTATTTCAAGAAATATTTACATAATGTCCGTTGCATGCTAGGCTCTGTGATGAGAGTGCAGAAACAACCCAGACAGAAATGGGCCCTACTTCAGAGACCCAGTAGAAAGTCTTTCACTTTCAGGGAGGAGCAGTTTAGTGATCAAGAATCTGAAGGGAAATCAGGGAGGTCATTGTGACAAACTTTTCTTACCACTAGGACTGGTGGTAGTTAAGTGTATTCTACTCACAGCATATTTTTCTGCCCAACTGATAGCTGGCTTGAACATGTGACTTGCTCTGAACAATGAAATGTGAGTGGTGATGCCCCTTGCTTGCTGGGGACAAACATTTAAGAGTCAATTGCATGGCTCACCAGGTGTCTTTTCCATCTGCCATGAAAAAA